AAAAAAAAAAAAAAAATGAAGTTATTTGCTTCATTTGTATAAATCAGTTTCTTCTACATCTCTTGTGCACACATGTATTTTCTCTAAAATATTCAACAATAACATTTCCAAATCTGGATCTGTCTTGAAAAGTGTTAAAACTGGATTTATGACATCCACGCTTTTCCATTTTTTAACAGCAATGAAGGCAGGTTCATCTTCTCTAAATCCCTATGCAGCTTCCTATGTGCCCCTCTTCAAAAGAGGGCTTCCCAATGCAAACAACGACTTAAGCCCGACACAAGAATTGAACAGTGGAAATGAGTTTGTTTGGTCAGGTCATCAGCCGAGCACATTATTTGCTTCTGCTATCCAAACTGGTGAAGGTTCTAGAAGGAATAGTCATCAACATGGTGGTGGTGAATTCTTGGCTTCGACCTCAAAGTATCCTAATCCGATACAACCGAGCTTTGATGAAGAGTTCGACATGGATTTGGCTTACCTTCAGATGAACTTTCCGGGAATATCGGAAGAGTCTCTTTCTGATGTCTATTTGGCCAACAGGTGTGACCTGGAAGCTGCACTAGACATGCTACATCAACTCGAGGTAATTTTTTAAATTATTCATATTTTTAATTATTAATGCTTCCCTCGAGGTTTAGAAATTGCATGGTTTGTCAAACAAACACAAAATTTGGGGAGTATTTGTAGTTTTATAAGATAGCTATATTTCTCTTCACTGGAGTTTCTGTTTTTGTTTTAGAAAAAATCCGCTCATATCGTTTAACCAGGATTTTACAAAAAGTGATGTTTTACTTTGATGATATACATCACTCAATGTTGGTGCTTAAATTTTGATGCACAAGCTTTTCTTGAATGCATTAGTCTTTCTTTTACTATATATGATCATAGCAAGTGTGTTAAAGAAAATCTATAGTTGACATTTTTTTAATACATTGAAGCTTGCCCCCAGTTTTCTCATCCTTCCTTGCCTCATAAACATAAAAATATTTAGGGCTGTTTGGAACTCTTAGAAAAGGTAACTTGTGAGCTTTGGGCCAAAAGAAGGAATAGAAAATGCAGGTTTTAATGGTCTCGATTACCAGCTTCTACTTTTAAATCAAATTTATTTTTAATCGAAAAGCTGGGTAAGGGTTATTTTGAATTTATCTTATTCTCTGTATTGATGTTTCTAAAGTTAATTCACTAACCACTTCTTTTAAAATCGATCTACCATTTTTAATACTTTTTCGCTTCGATTACGATAGCCCTCATTAACTAAAAGCACAAGTTTTTTGCAGGTCTACCCTGATGATTCATTGGATAAGCTTCCGGACTCTTTGGACATTGGTGACGTGTCGGAACCTGTGACCGTTAGCATGACATCATCATCACAGAAAGCTAAGATTCAGACAGTTGACGATGCTCTGGCTTCATCTTCTGCTCCATTCAACACCTCACCTGCAAGCTAATCTGCTCGATTTTCCGGGATTAGCAGTTTTTCTTAGGGTTCTTTCTTT